AGTTGTCATCATCTAGAAAAGAAAGCCCAAGATAGAACTTGTTGGAGATTCCTGGTCTGAGGGCTGTCCTCCAAGTATGAAATAACAGTGCTAAGACAGATTATAATTCCGATAAAATGGAATACTCCCATACCGTTGTCTGATAAGTCTATCTGTCTAACTCTTCAGTAAATTTATTGGTAAATATTTCCTAAGAACTAATGTATTTTCTATACAACTAATTTTTCATAGCTGTAAGAATGCATTTAATGTGAATCATTTAACATTCAGATAAATAAGTATATACAACAATATTCTTAAAATCTTTAAGCTAAAAAACTGCTTATAGACCTTAAATGATCTTTGCAAAAACATTTAACTCGAACAGAATTTCCTATTCTCATTACGAAATACTTATGATCTCTACCAGACTCTCTGTTGATTGACTGGATAAAAAGTTAAAATTCACAAGATCATTTTAACCTCACCGTTGACTCATTTCTAACAATATTACTAGTTTAACTCGTAATCACTATTCGTACTTTTAACAAACTTATGAAACTTACTTCATCCAACCATTAATTTTATTCAGAACCTTCAATCATTCTCATTGATAAATACTCCACTGATAAAAACATATTTTAGGAACGAGCCAGTCAGGATTGAGAACACGACTTTGCAATTTTTGCGCGAATTTCATCAATCATTTACTGTAACGTTCAGCCTTTGGTAGGCTTACATCTAGCCTGAAGGTACCTTTTTTACTGGGGGATTGTTATGATCAGTGAATGGGATTATCTGGAAAAGAAAAGAACAAGAGAAAAAGTGAGCCGACAACTCAATAAACATATAGAATTTACTTACATTTAATAACGAAAGCAATCGACAACAACCAAAAATAACACGAGAATGAGATTAAGACAATCTGATAATCGGAACAAGAAGTTGACAGTGTGAGGTTTAAAACGTGTTATAGTATAACAAACAGTAGAAATACCCTTGTATACTGCTCAAAACGTTTAAAATGGTAGGGAAAATTTTTTTCTAAATGTAAAGTGAGAATTATGGTGTTAGACGTATTGAATACTCAATTTTATGTCTTTAGATTGTATATAACAGGTAAATTGACACTATAACGTCATTAGTTCTGAAATAAACCCTAACCTGGTAACACTACATTTTATGAACAAAATAATCAGATAGCAACTTTTGGATTTTTGTACAAAATTCATTTATCCTTATGGTTACAGAACATTTTCATATGATAGCAGTTGTTAATGAAAACTTTAGTCTTAAATCCTTAATCTTTCCTCTAAATACTCGATCCTAGCTAGGAACAATGTAGAAACTGAAAAATCTATATGAATGCTTTAAAGAGTATGAGAATATAGACAAAATGTTTCTGTTAGGACGAGTTCATTTCATTGGGTTTTTTTTCAATTACAAGTAGAATAACCTGTAGAATCGAAAAAATCAATAGACCTTTTATAATAACCTCACCTGTAGCTCTTCAGGGTTACTGCTGGTCCCAGGCCAAGGTAAAAGGAGGAGGGTTGACCATGGGTTCAGCTATCCCATCCCACGGAAAACAACCTTGCTAAAAAAATGTTAACCAGAATAATTAAATTAAACGATTTAAACTCCACCCTGGGAGTTGAAGGCTCTCCATTCAGAAGAATTATGACACTTCATAGTGAAAGCCGAGATTCTTCGGAAGCCAAAAGATCTATGACCCCCCCTACTGTTTGTAATATTATTGTTTTCTTTTCCTTAAACAAATCCATCTATAAAAGCTATTTTCTGACTGGCTATAGAAACTAACTGAAAATTCATTGCGGTTGTTTTTAATTTCTTGATTGAAATCATGAACTGATTGCTTTTAGACCACCATTGAAAACCTGGAATCACTGGATGGCCATTTCGTCCCACTGTGGGACTCCTCAGCAATGCGCATCCACGATCCTGATTCGCGGTACTCAAGCCCAGGACCTTCAGTCTCGCCCGAGAACGCTTAACTTATTGGACCACTGAGCCGGCCGGCATCTAACGGTGTTAATGTTTAACCTCAACCAATCCACGAAACCGTACGATCATCATTCATTGTACTAATGAATAAATGTTTCAATTTTAAATCATTTCTTTTTTCATTCAGAAATAGAACAATCATTCCACCCTATTCTCTCTTCCTCTTTATCTTCAATTATAAACATGTATTGGTGTTTTATTTGTTTTTTAAGAAAGAAAAAAAACAACTAACTACTCATAAAGTCATTACCTGATCCTCAATGAAATCGTATTTTGTCATATGAATATTATCATTACTTTTTAAAAAGAAACCTATCACAATAATACCAGTTGAATGATTTAGAAAAAAAAGAATTTTATGCATACACGTGATAGATAATACTTTGTCCATGGATAATTATACTTTCTATGATTGTATGTATGTGTGTGTGTGTATCTATGCTAAATATGTTTGCGGATATGTTTGCTTGAGCATTATAGTCTTATTTGTGTGAGTGTATTACTTTGGGCCTTTATATTACGCATACTTATCACCATCTTATGTATACATATTCAATGTAATGTAAGTAAATAAATATATAAAGAAAAGATTTACAATATTGAACATTCAACTATCTTTTTTTCTTTCTTTTAAAATACAACCTTTTTTCTTTACTATTCAAATAATAACAATAATAATATCAGTTAACATAGTTTAACAAAAAGTCATGTTTCATTGTATGTACATATGATTATGAAATATTGAAATGTATGTATATACATCTATATATATATATATATGGTAAGAATTAAGGCTTCAAGTATCGACAATAAGAATATACATTATTATTATTATTTACTTGTTACTAAGTCATTGTGTGTACACACTAAGATTAGTTAACACATGATGTTTATGAATGTGTGAGTATTTCTATCTCTTTCAAATATACTCTTCTGTACTTATGTTGATAATAATCATAATAATCATTTTAGTAATAGTAATAGAAAGGGAGAAATTGATCTAAGTAAAGAAGCTTACAAATAGTGCAAAATTTGAATATGAAAATTATATAATCAGTTTGTGTACATAAAAATACATATACACTTATGTATAAATACACGTGCTATTCACTTTAATAATAATAATAATAATAATACCAATAGAATAATGGTATTGAATAGTAAGATGTTTTGCATATATCCGCACCAAAAACTATGGATACAAATTTAGATATAAATGTGCATACAAACAAGTACACATGAGGTATAACGCAGCATAGATACATGTACACATGCATTGTGCTTGATATATAAACATGTAACTTAATAATAATCATACACTGCTATGACTTTAAAAAAATTATGCATATTTTAAATTTTAATTAAATATTGAACTATGCATTTTAATTACCTCAATATTAATAATAATAATAATAATAATAATCATAATCAAAATGATAATAATTTACATTCAGTTGAGTATATTTCATTTGTATTGAGAAAAAGGCATACTACTATTACCATTACTATTACCATCATTATTATCATTCATTTTGACCCAGCAACTAAAATGTAAAAGTTAATTATACAAGTTGAAGTGTAATGTTAAATCTAAATCATTTGAATAATTGTAAATAGAAAAGCAACAAAAAAATTTACGACATCATACATAAAATAGATTAGTTACCATTTTAGAAAAACAAATTCCATTTTCTATTACTGAGATAAATGGAATTGTTCGTTTGATGTAATTGACATATCATATTGTTGAAGATATTTAGGAATTGAGAATAGTTAATTCAGTATGATCAGCCAACTGGCTTATTTTTTTTCTTAAATATAGTGTCGGATTTTCTACCGGGATCATACATTGTTACAATCCAATGCAATCCACCCAGATATTTACTTTTCAACTGACATTCATAAATCATGCAGTAGTATCAGAAGGAGTTTGTGGAGATTTTAGAAATTTCACAGATTGAAATCATGAGTCAATTGAAGCTAGACAACTATGGAAAACCTGGAAGCACTGGACGGCCGTTTCGTCCTAGTATGGGACTCCTTAGTAGTGCGCATCCACAATCCCTCACCCCGCGAGATTTCAGTGCTTCCAGGTTTTCCATGGTGGTCTACATTCGCTAGTAGCTGATAGTAGTTATTAATCTTTTTTCTTGTACAGGACATTTTTGGGTTTTCTCAACTATGAATAATATTGTTTAGAGTTAAAGGTTATCGATGGAATTCAAAGTAAAAGAAATTAAGTTAAAATCTCACTGATTGTTCATCAATGTACAATGAACAGCTCCTTATTTTTAATTCTATTCAAAAAATCATTATCTATGTAAACATCTGTACAAAGAGTCACGCCCTCAATACCTTCAGAATGCGATTTCTTGAGTTACAATTAGAAGCTATGACCGATGGAGTTCAACCATGTCGGGTGTGAGAATGTCATCCGTTTTGAGCAAAAAACGAGGGTTATATATTATCGTGGATTAATTAAAATTGAAGAAATAGATTGTCGGATGCTGGCTTGATGGTCTGGAGGTTAAGAGTTCACCCGTTCAATCGAGGCTCACGGATTCCACTCCTGCGTCCGGAGTCATGGGTGAACACTGCTGAGGAATCTCATACTAGGATAAAACGGAAACCCAGTACTTCCAGGCTTCTAATAGTGGTCTAGCTAAGATCAATTCGTAATCTGAATGATGAAAATATTTATGATTATTTGTAAAAGTATATGTTTACCCGTTTTTGGTATTGAAAAGTGGTCTGTCTTGGCCTGTCTCTGTTAGATTCTAAGCTGCTTAAGTGAACGTTGGGTTAAACTACACATGATTTTGTAATATCTTATAAGATTATTCAATTTTGGTCAACAAAAAACTAGTATGCGGTCATCTTATTTATGGAAAAATTAACAACTGCGAGTTCATAACATATGGTTATTTGGTTAAAACTACTTAATAATTTGTTGATCATGTTATACTGAACAGTTTTCTCACTTATCAGAGGAATTCTTATGGAAAAATCTCATCAGTAGTAGTAGTAGTAGTAGTAGTAGTAGTAGTAGTAGTAGTAGTAGTAGTAGTAGTAGTAGTAGTAGTAGTAGTAGTAGTAGTAGTAGTAGTAGTAGTAGTAGTAGTAGTAGTAGTAGTAGTAGTAGTAGTAGTAGTAGTAGTAGTAGTAGTAGTAGTAGTAGTACTGACATCACTAGTCCTTATACGTGCGATATAAGTCAATTCTTTGAGCCTAGAGGTTTACACTTGACAAAATGAATTATATACAAATTTGCTTTTGAAAATTCGTTGCTTACCAACTCTTTAAATAAATAAGTGATCGATTCGCCAATTCTCATCACTATACTAACTTATAAACTTTGAAGAACATTCATAGAAATATATTAGTTGTTGAAAGGTTAATTATGAATACAACGTTGTTGATATATTCACTCGTTATTTGAACAATAATAGTTTATAGTGTGAAGTATTTCCGAATCACTCAGCCTCATTTATAGCATTACCACTATTTATACAATTGTTAAAATATATAATTTCATTACGTTTTCAGTTGGAAAATTGATGATAACTAGGGAGGAGCTTAGGATCGACGTGTTTTTTACTGGTTGCTATTTGTTGCAATAGCATATATACAATCTTAAAGGCGACTGACATTCCTTGTGGGATTCGAATCCGTATTGCCCAGTGTCCCAGTTCGACTCTTTGATATTAAGGTTTCAAGTGATCGCCTTCATAGCTGTGATATTTTCGAATAATCAGTATGGTATTTGTCTAGCCCTCAAGGTTGTTTAAATTTTGTCGATAAATATATCAGCCTCCCCAAACATGATGAATCTAGGTGATTACATCATTCGATATTACAAGATCGAATCTTACACAGGGAACATTAGACTCGTACAAAATAATGACCATCATCAGCGAATACAAAACATTATTTTTCCCAGTTTAACTTACTGTCTTCTACCGCTTAACATTTAAATATAGTGCATAGGATGTCAAATCACTTAGACTAGCGATGATATTACAATTTGATCAATATTATAGATTAGATAAGTATAACACTATTTACTACTCACTAATTAGTCAGTAACTATATTTTCAACGTTCTTCAAGTGATGACAGGCGCACCCCCTTCTATTCTATTTTTTTTAAGTATCAAGGATAATTTCATTTATTTGTTATTTTCATGAATAAAAATTCCTCAAATTCATGATTTAAGACTAAAAAAAATTTCAGATGTCAACATTTAACATCCATTATGAATTGAATGAATAAATAGAAATAAATAAAGTATCAGAAGGGGTTTTTTGTGGATATTATAGTCATTTCAATGGTTGAGATCATGAGTCAATTGAGGTTAGACCATCATTATTGAAAAAAAAGATGACTATATTTATTATTATGATGGTTAGTTAATTCAGATGACATAGACAAATCGACTTTATTTTGATTGGTGGAAATAAATCATTTCTATGATAAGATAAATGAGATATGTTGACCAATTAGGATTAAGATAATTTTCAATATTTTTTCTAATATAAATTAGGGAATGTTATTTAATTTCAATGGTTAAGATCATGAGTCAGTTGAAGCTAGACCACAATGGAAAACCTGGAAGTATTGGACGGCCGTTTCATCCTATCGTGGGACTCTTCAGCAGTGTGCATCCACAACCTCGCCTCCTGCGAGATTCCAACCCAGGACCTACTGGTTTCGCACGCGAGCACTTAACCACTAGACCACTGAGACGGCTGGCATCCAACGGTGTTAATGCCTAACTTCAACTAATCCACGAAATCGAGCGACATATCCACCATTGTCTCCAGTGAGTTACTATCTCACAAAAGACCTGGTTGAACTCCACTGGTTACTACTACTCACTAGAACTCCAGGATATACCTCTTGAAACCAGTCACTTCAACTGACTCATGATCTTGACCATTGAAATTACTATAATATCCACAAAACCCATCTGATATTAATGTTATTTAAAACATTTTAGAGAAGAATTCATTAAACTTGAAATCTTCGATTTAATTGTACTTGCACCTACAAGGGTTTTTGATCATTAGGTATATTTATATTTCAGTGGTTGAAATAATGTGTCATGGCGTAATTTCGTGGATTGGTTGAAATTAGACATTAACACTGTTGGATGCCGGCTCACTGGTCTAATGGTTAAGCGCTCGAGCGCGAGATTGTTAGGTCCTGGGTTTGAATCTCGCGGGCCGCTGAGTCGTGGATGTGCACTGCTAAGGAGTCCCATACTGGGACGAGACGGCCGTCCAGTGCTTCCAGGTTTCCAATGGTGTCCTAGCTGAAACGGACTCATGAATTCAACTACTGAAATTGCCACAATCTCCACAAACCCACGTCCTGAAAATACATAATTGACAAATTTTAGTCTCAGCGTTCAAATAAATAGTTTTTTCAAGGTAACAGGTAACTTATTGATCAACTAGTTAAAAATATTGCTACTACTAATGATAATAGTACTTCTACCTGTTAACTCAATGTCAAGTAGATGAAACTGAGGGCACCTTTGAACCTGTGAGATTACTTCAAATTGAACTCGCTTAACACCATTAAACCAGTACTACCTAAAACTGAATAAGCCAACAATCTGATGTGTTATTTTTGCTTGCCAATTAAGGTCTTCACAACAAATTAAGTTGTCAATTAAGTATTTTTTAGTAATGTCCATGAGTAACTTCATATACGACTGGAAAATGTTAATACATATTTTCTGTCCCGGTGATTTTTTAATATATCGTGATCTAATATTATCATAAATAGATAGTTATCTTATCATCAATATCCAGTTGGCTAACTTTACTGAACATGATTCATCGAAACAGTTAACTTATTAAGAAATGATTTTTAAAAATATTGAAACTTTGCAGGTAAATAACTCTTCAGAAAATAAGATAACTTTATAGATATTCAGTAACTATGCTAAGTTTCTTATTCTTATCAGAGATTATTAGCTAAAAGAGTTTGGTCAAATAATCTGATCATGTCTCAGCATAACCCACGTAAAACTCCGCTCTCCTTTTAGGTATTAGAGTTTATATTCATATGTTCATCCACCACTTTCGACGTTCAAATTTAATATTCCAATCAACTGTCATATTTTATGCCCAGGTTGTCTTTAGAACAGATCATTTTCTATACGTACTAATACTGATTTCAACATTCATTTCTGTCGTATTCAAAGGATCGATCTATGGAGAAAATTAATTTTAATTAATTAATTCAGTTAGGAAACTCAAGATGAAGAGGGTGTTATAAATGATATTGAAGAATTGATTTTTATGATATTTACCTCCCCCTTCCATATACTTAAAGAACTCGATAAAACGTATGTTCAGCAATGATATTTTATCGAAATATATTATTGACGGTGTTAACCACCATCACATACATAGTGTTATGAGGACCACTGTTAACACACTGCTCAGTGATCCGAATTGAGAGGAGTGGAATATGGAGGAAGGGAATTAGTGTTCGAAGTTGTGACCTATTATAGATTAAAAACTGAGTATATTATAATAATGTTAACTAGTATCTAAATTAACAGAATAATTCACTGAAAATTGTGTTAATAATACAAATTGATTAGAGCTAAAAACGTACAATGATTATCGTGAATTTCTTGAAAATCATGAGGTTTAGTCCAATATACTGCATCGTAATTGTATCAATGATGGGAGCTTATCAGTTAGAAATGTTGCGGATATCCACTACCATCTGACTTGTAAATAAACGTTATATATATTATATTCTGTTCCCAGAATTATCAATAAAATGTACTATTTATCAATATTGAGTTTATAACTGAACCAGTTTAATCCCTATATATAAAAATGTAAGATTGAACTTACTTACTTACTTACGCCTATTACCCCTCGTGGAGGAGCATAGGCCGTCCACCAGCATTTGCCATCAAACTCTATTCTGGACAATACTTTCTATTTCTTGCCAGTTGCTATTCATCTCTTTGAAATCTGCTTCCAATTCCCGACGTAATATGTCCCTTGGTGTTCATCTTCTTCATTTCCCTTCAACATTCCAAGTTAGCTCTTGATGTAGTTTGATGATTTCCACAATATGTGTCCCATTTACTTTCATCGTGTTTTCTTAGTTTCCTCTTCAGTCGGAAGTTGGTTTATTTTATTCCACAGTAGGCTGTTCCTGATAGTATCCGGTCAACGGACATTGAGTGTCTTATAAATACCTATGTTTTTTATGACCGTTACAGTAGTTTTGCAGGTTTCAGCTCCTTACAGTGGAAGTGTCGTGGTGTTCTAATTTTGACGTTGGTTGACAGCTTTTTTGTGTTCCATATGTTCTTCGACTGTAGGGATGCTGTTCTTACTTTGCTAGTCGTTGCCTTTATGCCAACATTGGATCCTCTTCGTTCATCGATGATGCTGTCCAGTCACATGGAAGTTACCAACTCCTCCAGAGCTTCTCCATCAAGTGTTATTTGACTGATATTCTCCGTGTCGTATTTGAAGATCTTGCTTTTCCCCTTGTGCATGTTGAAACCTACTGCTTTAGAGGCTTCCATTACAGTGGTTGTTTTGACCTGCATTTGTTGGCGCGTGGGATCTGTGTGATAATCCGGATCAGTGGTTAAAGACATTGAGTGGGTTGACTGAGAATGGTTCATAATGATGTAGATTCATCAACTCTTTATCTTTCGCGTCAGTATTATTACTCGCTTTATCATCCATTCAATTCATTCTCCGTCTTAGGACTGCAATCACTCTATATTTATTCTTTCTCACTACCAGGGCAACTATGTAGTTATTCGAACTACTTTTGTTTATCCATCTTGTTAATTTTATCTCACTGAGCTGATTCGTTATGGCAATTTGCGTTGATGTAGATTTGTCGTAGGCTTTAATTCGCTCGTTTTTATTTCTTTATTGTCACTTTAGCATTTAGTTCGTCATCAAGTCGAAATTAAATAGTCGACATATCCAAAATGATTGATCGTTGAGTAGTAAGTAGTCAATATTATATCATTCTAGTCCTTTTGTAGTGATTAAGTCCGATCCATAAAGTTAAAACGTAGTCAATAATCTAAGAGGTTAGACATAGTGTCCACTATCTTCTGATGTCTAGCAATTAGAGGTTGTCGGCAAGAAATTTTTCTTAATCTAGGTTTCATAGTAGTGAGCACTGATACACAAGGTGTAACATTGTTAATCATTGTCTGACTGTGACATCAACTATTCAATACAGAAAACTCAGTTTGTACTTAGCACTTAAGAAATTGAAGAAAACCATTGGCGAATTACTGAATAGCGATAACTAGAGATGTGCTTGTCTAGTTCATTTAATGTTAAATGAATTCTATCAAGTCTAAGTAACCTTCTTAGACGTAGTAGACATTCAGCAAGAGAAACAGAAATCACTCTTTGTGCAACTTTATACTGTCTACAAGTTTTATATTCAACCCTGTGAGATTGGAACCCATATTGCTCAACGATTTCATAGACTGTAAAACTGAACTATTTAAGCATTTGACTGATTTCCTGTACAAGTTAAGTGTTTACATCATATATTCAGTCTCTAATATGTTGACTGATAATGACTGTTTCGAAAATAGTTGATTATTGACAATCACTATTCCACCTTTTTAAAATGTTCTACTGACTTATCTGCAAACAGTACATTATTCCACTAGTGCAATTATTTACCAGAATTATTATGACATTTACCAATGATTATACAGTTATAATGTTTCATTATGAATTGGAATCTTTTAAAATCGTATCGAATTCAATTGTCCTCATGATCTATATAGTAAGTTTTGTTTTTCTCATAATATAAACCTGAAAATAAAGGAAACACTCAAAATACAGTTTTCATGGTATTACTCATTGTAGCCTGCCTTTTTTTTTGTTCTCATGATTAGCACATATTAATGATGATAGATTTCATAATATCTAACATGTATTTCACCCCTTTCAACTCACAATTGATTGATCACTGGGTGGTGATCAATGTCATGCTTGTCTAGTCCTTATTAGTGCAGACCAAATGCTATCGATCATGTTGCAATGTGGCCACCAGTCTAGGTGACTCGACACTGCGGGCACTATGTATTGAGATTTAGATGGTGGTTGGAGGTAGTCAACAGGAAACCCTGGACCCGGGTTTCGTGTTACTTGGCACTCGTCAGCAAGGTGTACCTGTAATCTTGAGGGAACTGGTGCTCCCTGGCGGATTCGATCTCGTGTCACCCAGCTTCATAGTCAGAGACGTTACCACTGAGCTATCCGGGTCCAGGGTTTCCTGTTGACTACCTCCAACCACCATCTAAATCTCAATACATAGTGCCCGCAGTGTCGAGTCACCTAGACTGGTGGCCACATTGCAACATGATCGATAGCATTTGGTCTGCACTAATAAGGACTAGACAAGCATGACATTGATCACCACCCAGTGATCAATCAATTGTGATTACATCTCAGTCCTACAGGAGGTTAGTCACGGCTCGAATAGCTCAGTGGTAATGTCTCTGACTGTGAAGCTGGGTGACACGAGATCGAATCCGCCAGGGAGCACCAGTTCCCTCAAGATTACAGGTACACCTTGCTGACGAGTGCCAAGTAGCACGAAACCCGGGTCCAGGATTTCCTGTTGACTACCTCCAACCACCATCTAAACCCCTTTCAACTATTTATTATTTAAAATAACTCATTAACTTGATAAATTTATATAAATCTTAATATTAATCATTATCAATGTTATTTTCGGGTAAGAGGTTATTATACAACTAGATTATTAAATCATATATCTATTGTAATATACCACCCCCTACTAGGACTTATCAAGATTCTGAATGGTCAATATCATATCATTATACCTACCACATAGTTTTATATCAAATATCTAAATGTTAATTGGTTAACGCGATAAACAAATCTACCAATTAGAGTAAATCCTTTCATGAACACACAATTCAAGATAAATCATTTAACTAATTTGATAATGTAAGGTATATATATATATATTGGTTATATGTATCCCTTCATGTATTCATTGTATGTATGTATGTATATTAATGTATATTATTTGTATGTATGTTTATTAGGTATGTGTCAGTAAAATAATTTGATATTTGATGATAACTTTGTTATTTTTAAGGTGAGAGAGATAAAAAGGGACGGACATGTATTTTATAGTATACTTAATATCATTCATTGGAATAAGAGAATCTCATCTCAGCTGATCTACACACATACATGCTGTAAAATCTACAAAAATATATGCATATATATATATTAGATATCAGTATTATTAAAATAAATACCCTGTGTATTGGGTTTACATTTCCTTTATTTCTTCTGGCATTTATCATTCATAGTTCTATTCTTTTGTGATATCATGGACATATGCTGATATACACTTGGTTACTTGTATTCTCTGTTTAACATATCTGAAGAGATAATAATAATAATAATAAGTTGGTTTGTTCAACGGACATATTTACTTATATATACATTCATCAATATAACATTTATTTAAAATATCATGGATAATTCCATGGATGATAATATCACGAATTCTCAAGTGATTGATATGACCGAAACAACAACTATGAAAACAACTACCAATTATACTAATCCTATTGAACCAACTGTAATCAATACTACTGATAATAATAGTAACAATAATACTGGTATTTCTTTTCAGCATTCTAGAAACATCATTAATGAAAAAACTGATGATGATAATATTAAGGCTGATAACGTCGATAATGATGATGACGATCGTAATGATGATCAGAGTAAAACTGTAATTCATATACTACGATGTAAACATTGTAATTTCGAATCAATATTACGTTCACGTTTCGATAGACATTTACCATGTTCACAACAAATGGACACTTATCAATTATATACATGTTCAATATGCTTTACCAGTTCAACATCAAAATTAATTATGGATGAACATAGAAGAGTGCATCATTTGAATACCAGTAAAGTAAGTCTATGAAATATAAGGTGATTTGTAAGGGTCATACACTGTTTGATTAATATGTCATAACTTAATGATCCGGTGATATAATTGTAATTTCAATAGATACATTAATGCATGATGGAATGATGTTAAATGGTGTTCTTTATTAGGTAAATACGTCACAGCATAGATATGCACACGCGCATACTATCGCACCAAGTTTCATAGTGATTATTAATTGTTGAATAACAATCAATGTGAAGTTTATCTAGAACTTAGTTTAATCAAGTAAATCTACTCCCCTTACAGAACAGTAACAATTCTCACAATACACTTTCATGACAAATGTCAACTATCAAGAAACTTGCAATAAATAAAGTTTTCGATTCGATTCCCTTCAAATTCTTGATGTTCAACATAAATGAACTGAGAGTCTTAATGCTTTATTAAATTTTTCGGTCAAACATTGATTTATCTGTTTTAATGACCACGATTAAGACTATTACACTGTTTCGGTCAATTTTACTTCAACGGTAATTACATCAAATAACAATACACTAGTAAATAAATAATCTTCACATATTACTTATAAATGGTAAGTAGAGATAATAAATAAGTAACAAAGAATACTTAACATTGATTTTCACCTAATGGATAGAATTCCCACTCTAAATATATTTGTTTAATTAATAATCACTAGCCTTTGTAAACATCTATATATACTATAATGACATAAAGTTCATTGATTACAATTAACTATTTTTGCAAATGGAGACTCCCATCAAGAAACTTTAATAAATCTTATCATTAATGAATCCTCACATATTATTCTCTTAAGTAAGAGTTTTACAAATAATCATACTTATATAATGTGAAATGATTATTGAGGGAGAAGTGGATGAATGTTTAGATATGTTGATAGTGAAATAGTTGCTCACCGATAAGATTGGATATTTGGTCGTGTATATATTACTATAGTTAATTCATTGGATTTCGCTTCAGTAGTCCAACTGTAGAGCGTCTATTGCAATTTCATCTCATTGAAATGGTTATGGTTGTACACTGGTATGAAGTTCCACATTTAACGTTAAATAACTACCGGTCAATAACTTTTTATCTTCAATGATTGTGAAATTAACAAACTAGAAGATAGTTGTACATTAACGTGGACCAATCTAAGTTAGACATGTAATCATTTTAATAAAAACTGAGTGATCTGAATTTTGAGGGGCTAGGTTGAGATGTGAAGTTCTAGAGTTCGACCCCTAGTAGGTTCATGTGTTTACACTGCTGAGGAGTCCCCTGTTACAATAAAACATCTGTTTAGTGGCCCCTTGTTTCCAATGGTCAGCTAATTAATTATTTTCAAAATATGCAGTCCCAATACATCATAAAAATAGTATAACTTACAAAAAGCCCTATTTGATCTTCATTAAAACTGGTTTTTACTACAGCTTCAAATCATCCGTAAAAAACTAATTTTAATTATCAATTCATACAAATACTGTACACGTGTTTTATCTTAAATATAACTTGGAACACTGCCACTGTTACCCTCACACTACTACTATTCAGTTTCATGACAAAATTACCTCTCTATACAGTATAATATCATTGTTATGGAATAGAATAGTTATTTATCTCTACACCCTGTCAATCATATATATATCAATGCTACGAGCTTTTGCAAAATTTTGAACCTGTTTGTATGTTTACACACACCACTCACTGATTGACAAATAGAGAAGAAAATGTACATTAAAGAAGAAACACATTTATCCACGGAATGTTCATACAATAAATATAATTGATACCAAATTATTATCAGTATAGGGTTGTGACGATTGAGCTCATGAATCGATCAATGCTAGACCACCATTGAAAACCTAAATGTTAAGCATTTACGCGCGAGGCCGAAGGTCATTGGTTCGAGCCTCGCCACCGAATTCGTGGATGTGCACTGATGAAATGTTCTATACCAGGGCGAAACGGCCGTCCAGTGTTTCCAGGTTCTTAAAGGTGGTCTAACACTGATCGGTTCATTTAGTCAGAAGTAAATTATTATTTGTAATCGGTCCGATCTTTTTTTCGTTCATTTACTGTAAACCACCCTCATCAATGTATGTTCCATATTACATAAGAAGAAATAAATAATCTTAGTATTGCAAAGTTATGAATTCGTTGTGTTTGTTTTCTGATTGAGGTGTTTTGATGCAACTTAACATAAAAAATTATCAGGTTTAGAAAATAACGTTCTCCAAATTCTAGTGTTGTTTTCTCTGAATAAATAATAATAACTGGATAGCTTTCATTACCGTTATGAGAAATCTTATATAAGTATCTATTATGTATGTATATTGTGTAGAACTGAGTTTCTAAATTATTCCACAAGAATCAAATCAGTTCGTTCTAAAAGCGATGTATTATGACAGGTTGATTTTATAGATTTAGTTATTTTCATTTTTTCTTGTATTCAAGTAAAGGAGAGTGCTCTATTGATCTATGACTATGAGGTTAATTAATTTTTATTGTATGAATTAACAGATAGGGTCTATCTTGGTGTATCTATTGAGTGCCGAATAATGTGAATGTTATGTTTCTAAAAACACTCTGAGACTCTTAGAATAACTAAGAGGTTAACTTCTACATCAAATAGCCACTGATAATGTTATTCAATGAAAGTTCAAAGAGTTCACACTAACTTTAAATATTCTCTAACATTTCGAAAGTCTTTCAAATATATGTTAAAAAAATGATCGTTAATTTGCTCGATCGAATAAGTGATATATGTATTGATAGATAAGAATACAAGAATTAATTTCGAGAATATATAACTTAGATTTTATTTCAGTGTTTTTTCTTTGGCGGTCAAACTGCTCCATTCATGGTATCAGAAATACATTACATAATATCTTGGTAAAATCTGAGAACCATACAGTAAATACTTCATTTACAAAATATCCTTCAATTGTCTTAGATTTTATTGTTCCTTCATTTCCATATCAATCACTCTGTTCTCGTTCTCTTCTCGAATTCTTGAACCTTCTGCCTCCAGACATTCTACTTTCAGTTGGTTAGACATACTACTTATATCTGTCGAAATCAGTAGCACACGACACAGCAATATTAATCGTAAATTTAATGTATAATAATATAACTAATTAAACATTTCAAATGTCATGCTAAAACAATGATTTATAAGTAGGAAACTTGTGTAAATTGTCAATCAAATGATTATTGTATTTCAATATTAAACTCATGATAAAGAGTACTCAAATAATAGACTATAGTGAGTGTAAATTAGCAATATATGCTCTACTGTATATTTTACTTATGGCTGAAGTTAGAAACGTAAACTTTTGAATGTCAACCAATCGGTTTGAAAGTTAAGTGTTTATCACATGACATGAAGACTTCGGCTTCGGCCTCTTAATTCGGATTTGGATGAACACTGCCGAAGTGTCCTGCACTAGGGAAGAAATATCTATCTAATGTTTCCTCGTTTTCAATAATTGTTTAATTAATATCGTTATATGGTGTGGACAGGTTTCTTCTAGTTATGAAGGTCTATTTCAATACTGAATGATCGGAATTGGCTCGTTTTCCGAACCAAATCTAATAACATCCCAAGACGATGAATTAAATAACCTGTAGAATGTTCTATGATGAAGTCATGACGAATCAACAAATCACTCATAAGGATCAGGTATTTCTTATGTTATGCTAGTATTTCATAAGCTGATAAATCTATTGTTTTTTCACCAGAAAGTATAGAAATCACTTGGTTAGCATTTATTACATATATTCAATTGACCCCTAATTCATTATTTTAAAATTGTTATACCAGCTGATAACAGAAGATAGAAAATGTATGTAGTTTATAGTAACGATAGATGTTGGTTGGTTATATATGAAATATCACTGAATAACTTTAACTCTTAAAATAATGATAATACTTATTATTATTTATATTTAAAACTTAGCTATAAATATGACTACACAGTTGTCGTCACGAGTCAAGAATGACTGTAAAACTGAACATGGTAACTAGAATATTTTTAATAACTAAGTTATAAGTCATTTGAAATTTTTTTGTTTCTAAGGTTTTCATGATGTTCCACGAACACATGGATTCAGACTTTGTTCTAGTTAGTGTTTATCACCACAGCGTATTTGAAATCTTGAAGGAGATGAATATTCTTTGTGGAATTGATATTAGGAGTTACCTAATGTCGCAGTTTTAAATTTTATCAATTGATTAAAACTGATATACTTATACTAATTGACTACAGACTAACAATACATGACATTTTTGTTTAGTCTTGAGTATTAGTGGAATTCACTTAAATTAGCTACCCTATTGCAATTTGCTCGACAGAATTTAGTTCGACTTAAAGAACTAGACAAATATGATAAATATTATTCAGGGAGTGAATCTATATATATAACAGAATCCTCTTAAACCTTAAACCACCAAGTAGACATTTAATAATCTACGTTTTTAACAGTCCATCAGTTCATAGTGTAAAGTAAATTTTAATTTAAGGGCATTTTTGACAACTGTTTCACTTTTAACATGTTTCAACTTCTTCCATCATGAAATCTCAATAAAGTTTCAGGAAATTTTCTCGAAGTATGTCACCTGTGAGCATATGATGGTTAGTTTGTTAGAGGGGTTTTAATGAAATAGATCGATTCTTTGATGGTTGATCAATTATCAATTTTAATAGTTGAATTCATGAGTTCTTTCAAATAGTTCATTATTCAAATCTCTATAAAAAAGAAGACCATATAATAATTACGTGCTCACTAGTGACTGGCTTCAAGATGAATTTTCTGAAGTTCTAGTGGGAAGCAGTGACCAGTGGAGTCCAATCCGTGTCGCGTAGAGGCATATATCTACCTCAGACAATGGATAAATGGTTACGCAAGACCATGAATCGATTAAAGTTAGACATTAGCACTGTTGGATGCCGGCCGGCTCAGTGGTCTAGAGGTCAAATATTGCCATGCGAGACCGAAGGTCCTGGGTTCTA